GAGAGAGGGAGAGTGAGAGAGAGAGAGAGAGAGAGAGAGAGAGAGAGGGTGATGTAGAACTGGTAATTACGGGTGTTGCGGCAACCGGGATTCAGGAATTCACCTGATGGCCCTGTAGCATTGAACCTGGGGTGAAACTGGCAGTGTGTGTGTGTGGGTATGGATGAGGTTGCTTCTCCCGTTCCTCTTGACCCTTGGCTTGAGTGGTGTTGTGTGTGGGTGAGGCCACCACGCTGACGGGTTGGCTGAACACGGTGCGTGTAACCTCCCGCTGGCTTCAACCTAAGAGTTGAATCCCCGACACCTCCACAACCCTTTTAAAAAAAACAAGAAAGTCCCAGGCACACAGCCGATCGTCCTTAGTTTGGAAGGGGTAGGCCGGAAGCCTTAAGTTCGATCGGCGGAAGTGTTGTCTGTTCTCCTTGTATTCTCTGTTCTCGGGGTTCCTCAGGCTGGCACGGTCAGTGATCTAGAATGGAACGTCGACATCCATATTTGGCAAGAGGGACTAGACTCATACATTTGGTCGTGCAAAGAGAAGAGGTGTCTGGTCATGCAGACATGAGTTTACGTGACAACTGTCTCTTTGGTGGTCGCCTATATACGTGCGTGCATACGGTCCGCTCCCACCGGATCGGAATTAACCTTACAAATCAGATGGTTGTCGACGGTCCACTGCCACGTGCCTTTGAATATGACAAAAGTCGTTTTGGGCCTGTCTTCCGGTCGTACCGCGGCATGGTGGAAACCGTGTTGGATATCGAACTTCGAGAAGACTCGGGCGGAACTAATGGCGTCCAAGAGATCATCGATACGGGGCAGCGGATAAACATCTTTGGTGGTAATGGCGTTTAATTTTCGATCGTCAATATAGACGTAGACTGTCCCGTTTCGTTTTGGCACGAGGACCACAGGGAACGACCAGGGACCGAGGGAGGGTTCCACCCATCCAAGATGTTCGAACTCCCGTACCCTGTCCAAAGCTAGTTGTCGTTTTTTTAATGAATAACAGTATGGTTAACAGTGGATTGGGGCGTGGTCCCCAATATCAATCACGTGCTCTATCAGGTGCGTCAGCCCTATGTCGTGATACTGGATGGTGACCGCCTCTAGGTAAAACCGTATTAGCGCAAGAAGGAGGCGTAGGTATTCGTCGGGTACATGAGTGGGTAATTGAATATCGATGGTCCCACTAGGAC